AGCTCTGATTTATCTTTGCCTCACAGCTTATCTCTAGTAGAAATCTGTGGTTAGTCCGTGGATTAGGTTAATCTGTTGATCTCCGAGTACGTGGTTGTCATGCGTCCGGCAGGAACAGCTGTAAGAATTATGAAGGACGCGTATCGTTGAGGTCCAGAATACCCACAGACAACCACTAAGGGATAGTGAAGCCAGAACTCTGGATTTCTGAAAGTGTTCTTGCTCAATTGTCGTCTCCCGTCGATGTACTGCTCAAAAAAATCCCCTCTTATGAGCGGTCCGCCATGTCCATGTCGGGTTTGAACGGTTTATGTCCGGGTGGCACAAGATAACTTCGCCGAGTCCAACCAACGGTGCTGACCAACAAGGTCAACCTACGGGTCAACTCGCCGGTCCCAAGCCCGAAAAGAAGGAGGGTGGAAGCAACACTTCGATTTAAATCACCTTAAATTCGATTTTTTTACTTTCTCGTATATACGAAGTATAGAGAAAGTATTGTAATCGTGCACAAAAATCACTTGAAATTTTAACAATTTTCACCGTATTACACCTCAGTCCTTCGTCACATCCGAAGTATAGAGGACTTATTTTAATCGGGCAAAAATTATCAATCCAGATTTATAAAAATTAAGAGGTTTTATGCGTAATCCAGTCTGAAAAACTGGGCTTTGCAATTCTGTCCGTATGTCTGTGTGTCTGTGTGTGTGTCCGTGTGTAAACACGATTACTTGAGTACCGTTATAGCTAGGTTGATGAAATTTCATATATAAGTATTTTATCAAAATCGTAGATCCGTATCAACTTTTGAGCGATTTCCGATAACCGGAAGTGGTACTTTTCCTACTTTGAATTTTTCAAAAGCCTATAACTTGAGTACTATTTCAGATAGATAAATGAAATTTCACATGTAAGTAAAAGATCTAATTCTCTACCTTCTGTTAAATTTTGAGTAATTTCCGTTGACCGGAAGTAGTAATTTACGCTACTTCCGATTTCTCAAAAAACTAATGTAAATTTTTAAAGTACTAATAATATTGCGCGCTATTGTACACTTTTTTATTTGGCGTTCACTAGTTCACTTGAGGTGCAATTATTTTGTCTACGAGATTTTAATCTATTTTTAAAACTTTAAGTATTTAAAATGGATTAAAAATCATGTCAATAGCCCGAGTTCCCATCCCCTGTTGTTTTATATAAGAATATTCGAGAAAGTTTAGGGGAGATCACTCCCGGTTTATTATATGTATAATTTTCTTAATGTAAGAGGCTGGGGAGTTATTTAATTATTATTTTATTACAATAAGGTGGATGTCGCTTTTTGTGTTCCTTGAGGATTGTTGTGAATTTTAGTTAAGTAGTGGGGTCGGCGTGGTCGGAGTCGGTAAAGCTCATGGTTGATAAATTCGAAAAAGTCTCGAGTTCAACCCTCTGGCAGATAAGGCTCGATCCCTTCCAACACTAAAAATTAAGAACGAAGAAGAAGTACTGAGTACTATTTCAGATAGATAAAAGAAATTTCATATGTAAGTAAAAGATCTAATTCTCTACCTTCTGTCAAATTTTGAGTAATTTCCGTTGACCGGAAGTACTAATTTACGCTATTTCCGATTTGTCAAAAAACGCATGTAAATTTATAAAGTACTAGCCGTCCCGACCAGGCCCTGCTCTGGCCTCTGTGAAAAACCTATCTGTAAAAGACCATGACATGTGTGTTTTGTAATCAGCATATATCCGGCTTTGCTCACCATAACCACAATCAACCAAAACCAAAACACACAAAAAAGAACCGCGAACATAACACAAACAAACACAAACAAACACAAACAAACACAACACAAACACAACACAACACCAACACAACACAACACAAACACAACACAAACACAACACAACACAAACACAACACAAACACAACACAACACAAACACAACACAAACACAACACAAACACAACACAAACACAACACAAACACAACACAAACACAACACAACACAGCACAAACAAAACACAACACAAACCGGGACGGCTAGTATTATATAAAATTGTATATCTTCTTGTAGTGTGGTGCAGGTGTCTATAAAAGAGATTTCTGAAACCCATCTGTAAAGAAACATGACATGTGTGATTAGTAAACAGCATATACCCGGCATTGCCCACCCTAACCACAACCAACCAAAACCAAAACACAAATAAAGAAAGGAGACATAACATAAACGCAAACACTAATACAAACGATAACACAAACACATACCCAAACCCAACCACAAACACAAAACCAACTACAAACACAAATACAAACACAAACCCAAAGAAAAAAAACACAAACGAAAACGAAAAAGAAAGAACGAAAACGAACAAAATCAAAACACAAACCCAACCACTAACGCAAACCCAATCTAAACACAAAGAAAACACAAACGCGAACATAAACGCAAAGTGCTCACAGTCTAGCCCGCGGCGCCAAATCGCACTATGCTGGGGCGCCGGCGGAATCGCCTGTTTCAGCTTAATAAAGGACTATAATACCCCAACTTATTCATAGTCGTTTGCACTCACTTAAACGAACGTAGGTGCCAAACCAAACACGTGAGGCCCGTAGCCCCAAATAGCACCCTGTCTGGGCGCCAGATGACGCCCGGATTCGATTCACTTAAAGACTATAGTAACCTTTCTTATCCTTACTCTATCGAAAGCGAAATTATGCACCATAGCGCTCACAGGATAGCCCAGGGCGCCAAATTGAACCGTGGTGGGGCGCCGGCGGACGCGCCTGTTTCAATTTAATGAACAATTATAATACTCCAAGCTTATCCGTAAACGGAAAGAAATAAACATATAGGACATGTAGGACCTGGCTTATTAACTGTTATTGATTTTAAAAAATAATTAGTAAACAGTAAGTTCAGTGTAGAGAATAAATAAAAGGCATAGAATAAAATAAAAATACCTACATTTGCATTTGATCAAATCCCCTGCTAATTATGTCATTTTTTTTTCCAACGCCAAAACAAAGTAATAAAAAGTAAATTCTTTTCCACTAATGCAATGTTTTATAAAGGGAAGTAATTGTGTTTTCCTAATTTATCATAACTATATCCCGAGTTCCCATCCCCTGTTGTTTTATATAAGAATATTCGAGAAAGTTTAGGGGAGATCACTCCCGGTTTATTTTTATTTTTTCATGCATTGAAAAACTTTAATTATGAAGGTATTTTTTTATACTTGTTTTATTTTTAACTTTTTTTTTTGTAATTATGCGTTTTTTTTTTTAAATAAAAAAAAGAATAGGAAAATTTTAAAAACAATTCTTTTACTTTTTTCCTTTCGTTCGTTTTTAATGGAAGTCACTAACACGCCACAACACCATGTGCTTAATACCCTATGAATGGCTTGTGATCTTAACTCTAGAGACAATTATCTGCCCCTTATCGACGTCCCTGGTCGGCTGCTAGGTGTGAGAGTGTCCTTGACCACTCACAGTCGTCACGTGACCGGTCAGGCGATCGCTAGCACTTTGTTCTCTCCTCTTGTGTTTATTCAATTGGCTTAAATTAATCTTAAAAATTTAGGCGTATCAGTTCGAACATTTTTCCTCATGAACACATCACATCTCTAATACAATACCAATTCAACACATTAATCTCCACAATCGCACCAATACTGAACATATCACCTACCTAAACACACAAACACCTGAACACATGACCTAACTAAACACAACACCACATGACCTAACTAAACACACCAACACAAACACATAACCTAACCCAACACACAACCTGAACACATGACCTAACTAAACACAACACCACCTGAACACATGACCTAACTAAACACAACACCACCTGAACACATGACCTAACTAAACACAACACCACCTGAACACATGACCTAACTAAACACACCAACACATAAACACATAACCTAACCCAACACACAACCTGAACACATGACCTAACTAAACACAACACCACCTGAACACATGACCTAACTAAACACAACACCACGTGAACACATTAAACACACCACCATATTAACACAGACCTTGACCTATCTAAACGACCCCCTTCTATTTACGCGAGACATTGTATTCTGGTCATTGCTAGTGCTCTCCCATAAATCTTAGAACAACCAATCAAATGAGACATCTATATCGTCTGCTCCTGCTAGTTGTTTTACCATTGGTGGTTATTTTTAGCAAACGTTGGTGGTGATGGGATTTGATTTTATCCTTAGTAAGCGGCGATTGCTGGGGTTGGTCGAGCAGAATGGTCAGACGGTCAGTCTCGAGATGGTCTAGCGACAGTCGGTATGGTCAGTCTGAAGATGGTCTAGAACTGATCGACATGGACTAGAATCGTTTCACTTAGGAAGCGTTGAAGATTTGACTTTGTAACCTCTAAAATGCAGGATCGTATTCCCTCTCATCTGCCATATTTCCTCAAGTTCTGAAACGGCTTATTTTAAACTTCACTCTAAAATATGGGACCCGGCTAAGTTCTAGGATGCCAAACTTGCTGAGATGGCCAAACTTGCTAACATGGCCAAACTTGCTGAGATGGCCACACTTGCTGAGATGGCCAAACTTGCTGAGATGGCCAAACTTGCCGAGATGGCCAAACTTGCTGAGATGGCCAAACTTGCTGAGATGGCCAAACTTGCTGAGATGGCTAAACTTGCTGAGATGGCCAAACTTGCTGAGATGGCCAAACTTGCTGAGATGGCTAAACTTGCTGAGATGGCTAAACTTGCTGAGATGGCCAAACTTGCTGAGTTGGCCAAACTTGCTGACATGGCCAAACTTGCTGGTGAAACTGTAGCCGTGAAACACGAAAAGCAATCTAAACCTACATCGTGCAAGGGCGGGTAACTCGAGCTAAACAAACGAAAGACTGGATGGATAGTCGGCCCCTAATGCCACATCACGAAAATCGGCACAGGATTAATGGATTCAGGGACGATAATCCCTGAGGGAATCACAAAACGGGGGAGGGCAAACAATGGCAGTATATACGGGGAAAACATGGGGACAATGGGACAACAACAGGACAAAAAGTCTGGTCTGCCGTTTTCTTCGTGCTGTCTTCACTCAACAACAGCTCCTGAAGTGGGAGAATGACGTCACAAGTTAGTTGCGTATCGTGACACGTGTGTGCACCTTGTTGGAGGTTTGATCTGCTTCACCTACAGTAGCATGGATATGGAATTATTGAATTTTAAAATTAAATTGTTTGAAGTTAAAACCTTTCAAGCTAACACAATAGATAAACTTTATCCGTGAGTTCTATTTTTAGACATGTTTGTTGCGCGCGCTGGAGTGGAACGCGACATTTAATGACGTCACTCATTAGTGTAATTAACACAGACATTACAACAAGTCCGATTAATCACACATAAACGCTAATTAATTATGGATCTGGGTTAATCATCAATCTATAATCTGACCATTGGCGACCATTGTTTTGTTTCCTCAGAGAACGGAAAGTTCACGGTGTCGGCACTTCCGGCCAAAGGTCGTGTGACGTCACGACTCCACCCCACACTATCCCTGTACATCAACCGCTTCCAGACGCCAGATGGCGCGGTAAGGAAATTATTTTTGTAACAGGATTTGACGTCATATTTTTATGTTTTTTGGTGATGGAGTGGGCCGTTGCCTCAAACACACCTCACACACAAAAACAAACGCACAAACACCATGCACATACACACGCACACCTGTAATAAGCTTTTGAAACTGTCACATGGCAAAGTCACAAGATGACGTCACGAGACCGTGTCACAATATCGTCACATGAACGTGTCACTATATCGTCACGTGACCGTGTCACTATATCGTCACATGAACGTGTCACAATATATCGTCACATGAACGTGTCACAATATATCGTCACGTGACCGTGTCACTATATCGTCACATGAACGTGTCACAATATATCGTCACGTGACCGTGTCACTATATCGTCACGTGAGCGTGACACCAGACGCCAGCAGTACATATCACAACCACCGAGCCACGAACAAAAAAAAAAATATGAAGAGAATAATTGTAAGGACACGTGAAGCAATCAACAGACAAATCTCGCGCTTAAAGCCTCGCCCATTTGCATAAATTGTCAACAGGAACATAATCGAAATGAAATTTTGAGAAAAAAATTATCAGAATTTTCTAGAAAACCAATCTAGCCTGGGGGTCAGTCGGTACATTGGTGTTGGGATAGGAACGTTCTAGATTTGTGTGGCGGTGCATCATCGAGAGAGGGGGTGGGGGTGGGGGATGGTCGTTAACACGGAGATTAGGTCGTCAAATTTAGATTTGGTGTAACTTGAGGACGGTTTAGCCAGCAACTATCGAGCTGTGTGCAAACGTGAGTCGTTCTGTAGTCGGTGCACGGGCATGTGGCCCCGTTCTGTAGTCGGTGTACGGGCATATGGCCCGGTTCTGTGTCTGGTCATGGCCCAGTTGTGTCACGTTACAGATCTGTGTTGTCACTTTACATATATGTGTTGTCACGCTAGAGATCTGTGTTGTCACGTTAGAGATCTGTATTGTCACGTTAGAGATCTGTGTTGTCACGTTAGAGATCTGTATTGTCACGTTAGAGATCCGTGTTGTCACGTCAGTGATCTATGTTGTCACGTCAGTGATCTATGTTGGTCTCTACCTTAAGTCCTCAAGTTCCTAGCCTGACGCCTGTCTCAGATTTTCAACCCCCGAAACGATCAGCCAACTTTGAGGTCGACTTGTTTCATTTTTTTCCCCACGCACCGTTAGATAACTAGATAACCCTAACCTAGCTTTAGATAACTAGATAACCCTAACGCAGCTTTAGATAACTAGATAACCCTATCCTAGCTTTAGATAACTAGATAACCCTAACGCAGCTTTAGATAACTAGATAACCCTAACCCAGCCTTAGATAACTAGATAACCCTAACCCAACTTTAGATAACCCTAACAAAGGTTTAGATAACTAGCCCAACCCTAGCCCCCCCCCCCCCCCCCCCCACAGCTTTAGATAACTAGCCCGACCCTAGCCCCCCCCCCCCCCCCCACAGCTTTAGATAACTATCCCGACCCTAGCCACTATCCCACCTCATAACATCCCATTTCCCATATTGTACCTTACTTGAACTTTGACCCCAGATAATCACCATCAACGGCGCCACCATCATCCACGCCGACATTGTGACGGAGAACGGCATCCTCCACATCGTCGACCGCATGGTAGCGCCCGTGGGCAGTCACATGACCATCGCAGAGTACGTGGAGAAGCCTCAGCTCAGGGAGTTGTCCTTCAGGTAAGTCTGTCTCGATGTCTGCCTCGATGTCTGCCTCGATGTCTGTCTCGGTGTCTGTCTCGATGTCTGTCTCGGTGTCTGTTGGCAAGTTTGTCTCGATGTCTGTCTCGATGTCTGTTGGTAAGTTTGTCTCGATGTCTGTCTCGGTGTCTGTCTCGATGTCTGTCTCGATGTCTGTCTCGATGTCTGTCTCGATGTCTGTCTCGATGTCTGTCTCGATGACAGTCTCGATGTCTGTCTCGGTGTCTGTCACGGTGTCTGTCTCGGTGTCTGTCTCGATGTCTGTCTCGATGTCTATTGGCAGATCTGTCTCGATGTCTGTTGGCAAGTCTGTCTCGATATTTGTCGGTTTGAATATCGGTCTGTAGGTATGTCTGAATGTCTGTGTGACTGTAAGTACGTGCATTAGTCTATCGTTCTTTGCCTGTCTATGTGCCAGTAGGTCTGCGTACAAGTGTATACATGTTAGTCTACAGATATTTTTGTAGGTAGGTAAAGCCTGTTTGTCTAAAAATTTGTCTGTAGCTGTACCTGTATATTTGTATGAAAGTCTGTCTAAAACCATACTTTTGTCTGCCTAGAAGTATGTACACAATTGGTTGGTAAAATTGGATTTGAAAGTCTGTCTGCTAAAAGTCTGCCTTACACGATAGCCTCCGGTCTATTCCTTCAATTGTCTGTCTGTTTGTCCCTCCTCAGTGCCATTATCATGGCCGCCATTGTGGTACCGTCGTTGACCCAGAAAACGAACAGCACTAAATCTCTGTACACGTCCTTCTCGCCCAACGACTCGTATCTCTACCCCATGCCGGAGTACGGGAAGGAGCCGTTGTTCAACAACTTTACCATTCTAAGGGAGGTAAGAAACAACTTTACCATTCTACGGGAGGTAAGTGTTCAACAACTTTACCATTCTACGGGAGGTAAGTAACAACTTTACCATTCTACGGGACGTAAGCAACAACTTTACCATTCTACGGGAGGTGAGTGGTCAACAACTTTACCATTCTAAGGGAGGTGAGTGGTCAACAACTTTACCATTCTACGGGAGGTAAGCAACAACTTTACTATTCTACGGGAGGTAAGTGTTCAACAACTTTACCATTCTAAGGGAGGTGAGTGGTCAACAACTTTACCATTCTAAGGGAGGTAAGCAACAACTTTACCATTCTACGGGAGGTAAGTGTTCAACAACTTTACCATTCTAAGGGAGGTAAGTGGTCAACAACTTTACCATTCTACGGGAGGTAAGCAACAACTTTACCATTCTACGGGAGGTAAGTGTTCAACAACTTTACCATTCTAAGGGAGGTGAGTGGTCAACAACTTTACCATCCTAAGGGAGGTAAGCAACAACTTTACCATTCTAAGGGAGGTAAGCAACAACTTTACCATTATATGGGAGGTAAGCAACAACTTTACCATTATATGGGAGGTAATTGTTCAACAACTTTACCATTCTACGGGAAGTAAGAAACAACTTTACCATTATATGGGAGGTAAGTGTTCAACAACTTTACCATTCTAAGGGAGGTAAGTGTTCAACAACTTTACCATTCTAAGGGAGGTAGTGTTCAACAACTTTACCATTCTAAGGGAGGTAAGTGTTCAACAACTTTACCATTCTACGGGAGGTAAGTGGTCAACAACTTTACCATTCTACGGGAGGTAAGCAACAACTTTACCATTCTAAGGGAGGTGAGTGGTCAACAACTTTACCATTCTAAGGGAGGTCAGTGGTCAACAACTTTACCATTCTACGGGAGGTAAGCAACAACTTTACCATTCTACGGGAGGTAAGTAACAACTTTACCACTCTACGGGAGGTGAGTGGTCAACAACTTTACCATTCTAAGGGAGGTCAGTGGTCAACAACTTTACCATTCTACGGGAGGTAAGTAACAACTTTACCATTCTACGGGACGTAAGCAACAACTTTACCATCCTACGGGAGGTAAGCAACAACTTTACCATCCTAAGGGAGGTAAGTGTTCAACAACTTTACCACTCTAAGGGAGGTAAGTGTTCAACAACTTTACCATTCTACGGGAGGTAAGCAACAACTTTACCATTCTACGGGAGGTAAGTAACAACTTTACCATTCTACGGGAGGTAAGCAACAACTTTACCATTATATGGGAGGTAATTGTTCAACAACTTTACCATTCTACGGGAGGTAAGAAACAACTTTACCATTATATGGGAGGTAATTGTTCAACAACTTTACCATTCTAAGGGAGGTAAGTGTTCAACAACTTTACCATTCTACGGGAGGTAAGCAACAACTTTACCATTCTACGGGAGGTAAGTAACAACTTTACCATTCTACGGGAGGTAAGAAACAACTTTACCATTATATGGGAGGTAATTGTTCAACAACTTTACCATTCTAAGGGAGGTAAGTGTTCAATAACTTTACCATTCTAAGGGAGGTAAGTGTTCAACAACTTTACCATTCTAAGGGAGGTAAGTGTTCAACAACTTTACCATTCTAAGGGAGGTAAGTGTTCAACAACTTTACCATTCTACGGGAGGTAAGCAGCAACTTTACCATTCTACGGGAGGTAAGCAACAACTTTACCATTCTAAGGGAGGTAAGTGTTCAACAACTTTACCATTCTAAGGGAGGTAAATGCGCACACATATGTTGATTCTTGCCACCCATTTAAATATTTGCATACAGACAGGGAGATATAACGATACTTTTTGTTACTTTGTTTACGATGTAACAAAATTTTACATACACCAAATGTCACATTGTTACACCATTGTCAAATGTCATCGCTACCGAATGTCATCTGTGGTCTACCTCATTTCAGTGACGTCTTTTTCTAATGTCACCCGTTACAATGTCACATTTACCTAGTCTCACCTCAAGATATAACAAGTTGTCTAATGTCACCCCTAAAAATGTCAAATAAAAATGTCACCTCTAAAAATGTCACCTCTAAAAATGTCACCTCTAAAAATGTCACCTCTAAAAATGTCACCTCCCAGGTGTACCAGGCCCACATCATCGAAGACGAGGCTCTGTTTTTACCTGCGGGTCTCAAAGGTTTGCCGGCACGGAAGGCTTTGTACGGAACGATCCGGTTCTACACGCGGGACGGCAAACGTGAGTAGCCGGCAGATACCAGCCACTTGACATATTTTCTGGCTACATTTTTTTAACTTGGTTTACATCCCCTGTTCAACTTTTTCATTTTCTGGTGTGCTATTTTTAAATCAAATTCTGTTTCATTCAACAAACATCACGTGATTCCCGTCTGTCGCAGTGTACATCTCCAACAATCGCGTGCACGCCAAGGTCATCCAGCCCAACATCCCAACGGTCAACGGCGTCATTCACGTCATCGACAACCTGCTACACTACATCTACCACAACGCTCTGCAGGTCGCTGACTCCATTACTGACGCCAAGTAAGGTTTTTTTAGTCTGACTCCATCACTGACGCCAAGTAAGCTTTTTTGTCTGACTCCATCACTGACGCCAAGTAAGGTTTTTTTGTCTGACTCCATTACTGACGCCAAGTAAGAATTTTTTGTCTGACTCCATCACTGACGCCAAGTAAGCTTTTTTGTCTGACTCCATTACTGACGCAATGTAAGAATTTTTATGTGACTCCATTACTGACGCCAAGTAAGCTTTTTTGTCTGACTCCATTACTGACGCAAAGTAAGATTTTTTGTCTTTTTATGTGACGCCATTACTGACGCAAAGAAAAATGTTTAGTTTCAAACTTGTGTATGAAAGAGAGGATGTTTTCCTACGGACCTAAACCATTAGGTCGTGGGTTGTTTTTTTTTAAATAAACAAAACGGGAGTGGTCTCCCCTGAACTTTCTATTATATTGGTATGGTGTATTTCTAGTGGAGTATGACAATTGAAATGGTAGGTCAGTTGTGATAAACCGCTAGAGTTTTGAGACTAAACTCAGGCGAAACAATTAGAATAGGCTGCTTATGATAATATGATATAAAATATAAATCCAATTGGTTTTTGAGAAATCGGAAAAGTAGTAAGTACCCCATTCCGTTTACCAAGAATTGCTCAAAAGGGTAGAACCTACGGAAAAGGTTCAAATAAATATGTATAAAATTTCGTCCATCAAACTGTAGCGGTACTCACGTTATCAATCACACTACTTCACCTACACTCCGTATACGAGAAAGTTATCCGTAGTGGAAAAACTGAACATTCACATCCAAAACTCAACATTGACAACATCCAAAACTCAACATTCACATCCAAAACTCAACATTCACATCCAAAACTCAACATTCACATTCACATCCAAAATTCAACATTCACAGCATCTGAAACACATCATTCGCATCATCCAATAAAAAAGTTATCGTTTCGCATGCAACAAAATGAGCAGACTCTATTTTTAGCTCAGCGTTTAGATCGAATCAAAGAAAGAAAAAATCAATTATAGTTACTCCCCCTGCAATCATCAGAAATCAAGTTTGCCATGTGTAAAATCATCAATAATTCCTGCGTGTCTTACGTGCGTGTTTACATTCACTGCGAAAAAGGTCACATTATTTCCAGGTAATCAGACCTTCTACCTGATTAACTCTTTAATCAAGCACACACGTCACCTGTAATTAAACCGCGTCTGATGTTTACTTAAAGGATGTGACAAATGAGCAATTAAATATTTCACGAGGATTTTATTTTATCCTCTCACTGATCTATGTGACAACCACTTTGGCCAGCGGGTTGTTATGGAACGACGGCCAGATGGTTGCTTTAGTAAAGTAGCGGACATCCCTTTCGTGGTCTTACTACAGATGAAGTAGAGTTAATCTAAAAAACTGTCATGTCTCACGTTGGGGATTTAGAGGACAACAGGTGAGATAGCCGCAGCCGTGACCAACAGTGCTACACCTAGCCAGGGCTACCTATATCAACAGTGCTACACCTAGCCAGAGCTACCCATATCAACAGTGCTACACCTAGCCAGGGCTACCTATATCAACAGTGCTACACCTAGCCAGGGCTACCTATATCAACAGTGCTACACCTAGGCAGGGCTACCTATATCAACAGTGCTACACCTAGCCAGGGCTACCTATATCAACAGTGCTACACCTAGGCAGGGCTACCTATATCAACAGTGCTACACCTAGCCAGGGCTACCTATATCAACAGTGCTACACCTAGGCAGGGCTACCTATATCAACAGTGCTACACCTAGGCAGGGCTACCTATATCAACAGTGCTACACCTAGCCAGCGCTACCTATATCAACAGTGCTACACCTAGCCAGCGCTACCTATATCAACAGTGCTACACCGAGCCAGCGCTACCTATACTGATTAATGTGAATGGTTCCAACCATCTTTAATTTCCCCCTCCCCTACCCTCCTCCAACCGTCCTACTACCTCACACAACTTAGTAAACGTAAACAGTCACGTTTACTGTCACGTACATCCATACGCTGGTCATCGATTGGTCAGATGTTTCACAGCTCTCAGCCATCACATTTTAAAGGTGCATCTGCACTTACCGCCCCCCCCCCCCCCCACCGTCTAGATCTACCTGACAATCACGTGACTTGTCCCCAGAATATTCGCCCAGCTGTTGAAGGGGGTGTCGGCCCAGATGAAAGAGAGGCTGGCCAACACGACGGTGACCATCTTCATCCCCAGTGACTGGGCCTTCAGCAAGGTGCCGCTCTACTGGCAGGGGGAGCTGGTCAGGGTGGAGAACATGATCGACAGGAGCCCGCTGGAACAGGTGGGTCTTAGGGCAGGTGGGGGACAGGTGGGTCTTAGGGCAGGTGGGGGACAGGTGGGTCTTGGGACAGGTGGGTCTTAGGGCAGGTGGGTCTTAGGGCAGGTGGGGGACAGGTGGGTCTTGGGACAGGTGGGTCTTAGGGCAGGTGGGGGACAGGTGGGTCTTAGGGCAGGTGGGGGACAGGTGGGTCTTATGGCAGGTGGGGGACAGGTGGGTCTTAGGGCAGGTGGGGGACAGGTGGGTCTTAGGGCAGGTGGGGGACAGGTGGGTCTTAGGACAGGTGGGTCTTAGGACAGGTGCGGGACATGTGGGGGATAGGTGGGTCTGAGTCTTGGGACAGGTGGGTCTTGGGACAGGTGGGTCTTAGGACAGGTGGGTTTTAGGACAGGTGGGTCTTAGGACAGGTGGGTCTTAGGAAAGGGGGTCTTAGGACAGGTGGGTCTTAGGACAGTTGGGTCTTGGGACAGGTGGGTCTTAGGACAGGTAGGGGATGGTAGGACAGGTGGGTCTTGAAATAGGTGGGTGGCTGTAAGCTTGTTATCCAGCACAAAAGGTAAATGAGCTGAATAGTATAACTCACACCTAAACATGTTGGTCAAAAATACAGGAGGGGATAGAACTCAAAATTTTAAAAAATTAGTTCGTTGTTTTACAATTAAATCAACAACTGAAAGCTCTTCTCTGATTGGTTAAAACTTGTCATTTCTCGCAGTTTCTGTACCGTCACGTGATGACTGACGTAGCGATGGACGCTGGGAAGTTGACCGATGGCAAGCGACTGACCATGGCGAGCAACCAGACACTGACCGTACTGCACAAAGATGGCGGTAAGGGCAGGTCACGTGCACGTGTATAGAAGTGTTCAGACCGTCGAGAGATATGTTGATGAGACTTACCTGTATAAGACACCTGTTGAAGACACCTTTTTAAAACACCTGTTTAAAACAGCTAGTTTTTGTTGTTGCAGACATCTACCTGGAGACATCAGACCGACGTGTGAGGTCAAGGATTGAGGTGCTGGACATTGGAGTGACCAACGGCGTGGTCCACCTCATCAGCAACATCCTGTCCGCCGAGGGCTTCACCATCTGGCAGGCCGTGTCGGACATCCCGCAGCTCAAGTAGGTTTAGCTCTCACTCAAGTAGGTTTAGCTCTCACTCAAGTAGGTTTAGCTCTCGCTCAAGTAGGTTAAGCTCTCACTTGAGTAGGCTTAGCTCTCACTCGAGTAGGTTTAGCTCTCACTCAAGTAGGTTTAGCTCTCACTCAAGTAGGTTTAGCTCTCGCTCAAGTAGGTTAAGCTCTCACTTGAGTAGGTTAAGCTCTCACTCGAGTAGGTTTAGCTCTCACTCGAGTAGGTTTAGCTCTCACTCGAGTAGGTTTAGCTCTCACTGAAGTAGGTTTAGCTCTCACTCAAGTAGGTTTAGCTCTCGCTCAAGTAGGTTAAGCTCTCACTTGAGTAGGTTTAGCTCTCACTCGAGTAGGTTTAGCTCTCACTCGAGTAGGTTTAGCTCTCACTCGAGTAGGTTTAGCTCTCACTCGAGTAGGTTTAGCTCTCGCTCAAGTAAGTTTAGCTCTTACTCGAGTAGGTTTAGCTCTCGCTCAAGTAAGTTTAGCTCTTACTCGAGTAGGTTTAGCTCTCACTCAAGTAGGTTTAGCTCTCACTCAAGTAGGTTTAGCTCTCACTCAAGTAGGTTTAGCTCTCACTCAAGTAGGTTTAGCTCTCACTCGAGTAGGTTTAGCTCTCACTCAAGTAGGTTTAGCTCTCACTCAAGTAGGTTTAGCTCTCACTCGAGTAGGTTTAGCTCTCACTCGAGTAGGTTTAGCTCTCACTCGAGTAGGTTTAGCTCTCACTCAAGTAGGTTTAGTTCTCACTCAAGTAGGTTTAAATCTCACTCAAGTAGGTTTAGCTTTCACTAAAGTAGGTTTACCTCTCACTCAAGTATTTTTAGTTCTCATTCAAGTAGGTTTAGCTCTCACTCAAGTAGGTTTAGCTCTCACTCAAGTAGGTTTAACTAACCAATCGTATTAGAATTAACGGCGGAAACATGAATGTGACGTATGTAACAAACGGCACAAACCAAACCTTTTTTGTCCTCAAGACATTTTAATAATTTAAGTGTTTAACCAGACCTACATTTGGGTTAAACCAGTTGGGCTTTGGGTTAACCCAGTTACTACCGGCTGTCACGTGATGTTGTCTGTGTTCCTCAGGCGATTCGTGGAGGTGGTGACCAAGAACTTCATTGACATGCGCAGTATACTCAGCCTCGCTTCAGAGAAGCCAATCACCGTCTTCCTCCCTGGGAACGAGGTCTTTGACAGGGCGGCGGATTACGTCAACTCACTTCTGCTACTGGACCCCCACATCCTGTTTAAGGTACGGCTAATCCATGTCCATATGGCTAATCCGTCCATACGGCTTAACCATGTCCATACGGCTAATCCATGTCCATACGGCTAATCCATGTCAAGTATACCCATAAGAGTAATCCACGCCATTAAACACAATCTCTTTAGGGTACGGCTAATCCATCTTCTGTATACCCTGATGTACTGACGATTTATTACATTTGGGATATAGCTATCCAATCATGTAACCCTTACATATCCTTACAATACGCCGCCAAACGTCATTACAAAATTACATGTCGATATGCACGCGTAAACACGGGTTTTGAACTTTAGCTAGGTCGGGTGAAACCCTGTGCGGCACTTCGTATATACATTCCCCGCCCCGCCCTAGCAACGCCTCTGCCCCTAACCACAGCAGACAATCCAGTCCCTTCAAATCATGACTGGACTTTCTGGGTGGACTTTCTGGGTGGACTTTTTGGGTGGACTTTTTGGGTGGACTTTCTGGGTGGACGTTCTGGGTGGACTTTCTGTGTGGACTTTCTGGGTGGACTTTCTGGGTGGACTTTCTGGGTGGACTTTCTGGGTGGACTTTCTGGGTGGACTTTCTGGGTGGACGTTCTGGGTGGACGTTCTGGGTGGACTTTCTGGGTGGACTTTTTGGGTGGACTTTTTGGGTGGACTTTCTGGGTGGACTTTCTGGGTGGACTTTCTGGGTGGACTTTCTGGGTGGACTTTCTGGGTGGACTTTCTGGGTGGACGTTCTGGGTGGACGTTCTGGGTGGACTTTCTGGGTGGACTTTTTGGGTGGACTTTTTGGGTGGACTTTTTGGGTGGACTTTCTGGGTGGACGTTCTGGGTGGACGTTCTGGGTGGACTTTCTGGGTGGACTTTTTGGGTGGACTTTTTGGGTGGACTTTTTGGGTGGACTTTCTGGGTGGACGTTCTGGGTGGACTTTCTGGGTGGACTTTTTGGGTGGACTTTTTGGGTGGACTTTCTGGGTGGACGTTCTGGGTGGACTTTCTGGGTGGACTTTTTGGGTGGACTTTTTGGGTGGACTTTCTGGGTGGACTTTCTGGGTGGACTTTTTGGGTGGACTTTCTGGGTGGACTTTTTGGGTGGACTTTCTGGGTGGACTTTTTGGGTGGACTTTTTGGGTGGACTTTCTGGGTGGACTTTCTGGGTGGACGTTCTGGGTGGACTTTCTGGGTGGACTTTTTGGGTGGACTTTTTGGGTGGACTTTCTGGGTGGACTTTCTGGGTGGACTTTCTGGGTGGACTTTCTGGGTGGACTTTCTGGGTGGACTTTTTGGGTGGACTTTTTGGGTGGACTTTCTGGGTGGACTTTCTGGGTGGACTTTCTGGGTGGACTTTTTGGGTGGACTTTTTGGGTGGACTTTTTGGGTGGACGTTCTGGGTGGACGTTCTGGGTGGACGTTCTGGGTGGACTTTCTGGGTGGACTTTTTGGGTGGACTTTTTGGGTGGACTTTCTGGGTGGACGTTCTGGGTGGACTTTCTGGGTGGACTTTTTGGGTGGACTTTTTGGGTGGACTTTCTGGGTGGACTTTCTGGGTGGACTTTTTGGGTGGACTTTCTGGGTGGACTTTCTGGGTGGACTTTCTGGGTGGACTTTTTGGGTGGACTTTCTGGGTGGACGTTCTGGGTGGACGTTCTGGGTGGACTTTCTGGGTGGACTTTTTGGGTGGACTTTTTGGGTGGACTTTCTGGGTGGACGTTCTGGGTGGACTTTCTGGGTGGACTTTTTGGGTGGACTTTTTGGGTGGACTTTCTGGGTGGACTTTCTGGGTGGACTTTTTGGGTGGACTTTCTGGGTGGACTTTTTGGGTGGACTTTCTGGGTGGACTTTTTGGGTGGACTTTCTGGGTGGACTTTTTGGGTGGACGTTCTGGGTGGACTTTCTGGGTGGACTTTTTGGGTGGACTTTTTGGGTGGACTTTCTGGGTGGACTTTCTGGGTGGACTTTCTGGGTGGACTTTCTGGGTGGACTTTCTGGGTGGACTTTTTGGGTGGACTTTCTGGGTGGACTTTCTGGGTGGACTTTTTGGGTGGACGTTCTGGGTGGACGTTCTGGGTGGACGTTCTGGGTGGACTTTCTGGGTGGACTTTTTGGGTGGACTTTTTGGGTGGACTTTCTGGGTGGACTTTCTGGGTGGACTTTCTGGGTGGACTTTCTGGGTGGACTTTCTGGGTGGACGTTCTGGGTGGACTTTCTGGGTGGACTTTCTGGGTGGACTTTCTGGGTGGACTTTCTGGGTGGACGTTCTGGGTGGACTTTCTGGGTGGACTTTTTGGGTGGACTTTTTGGGTGGACTTTCTGGGTGGACTTTCTGGGTGGACTTTCTGGGTGGACTTTCTGGGTGGACGTTCTGGGTGGACTTTCTGGGTGGACTTTCTGGGTGGACTTTCTGGGTGGACTTTCTGGGTGGACGTTCTGGGTGGACTTTCTGGGTGGACTTTTTGGGTGGACTTTTTGGGTGGACTTTCTGGGTGGACGTTCTGGGTGGACTTTCTGGGTGGACTTTTTGGGTGGACTTTTTGGGTGGACTTTCTGGGTGGACTTTCTGGGTGGACTTTTTGGGTGGACTTTCTGGGTGGACTTTTTGGGTGGACTTTCTGGGTGGACTTTTTGGGTGGACTTTTTGGGTGGACTTTCTGGGTGGACTTTCTGGGTGGACGTTCTGGGTGGACTTTCTGGGTGGACTTTTTGGGTGGACTTTTTGGGTGGACTTTTTGGGTGGACTTTCTGGGTGGACTTTCTGGGTGGACTTTCTGGGTGGACTTTCTGGGTGGACGTTCTGGGTGGACTTTCTGGGTGGACTTTTTGGGTGGACTTTCTGGGTGGACTTTCTGGGTGGACTTTCTGGGTGGACTTTTTGGGTGGACTTTTTGGGTGGACTTTTTGGGTGGACTTTCTGGGTGGACGTTCTGGGTGGACGTTCTGGGTGGACTTTCTGGGTGGACTTTTTGGGTGGACTTTTTGGGTGGACTTTCTGGGTGGACGTTCTGGGTGGACTTTCTGGGTGGACTTTTTGGGTGGACTTTTTGGGTGGACTTTCTGGGTGGACTTTCTGGGTGGACTTTTTGGGTGGACTTTCTGGGTGGACTTTTTGGGTGGACTTTCTGGGTGGACTTTTTGGGTGGACTTTCTGGGTGGACTTTTTGGGTGGACTTTTTGGGTGGACGTTCTGGGTGGACTTTCTGGGTGGACTTTTTGGGTGGACTTTTTGGGTGGACTTTCTGGGTGGACTTTCTGGGTGGACTTTCTGGGTGGACTTTCTGGGTGGACTTTCTGGGTGGACTTTTTGGGTGGACTTTCTGGGTGGACTTTCTGGGTGGACTTTTTGGGTGGACTTTTTGGGTGGACGTTCTGGGTGGACGTTCTGGGTGGACTTTCTGGGTGGACTTTTTGGGTGGACTTTTTGGGTGGACTTTCTGGGTGGACTTTCTGGGTGGACTTTCTGGGTGGACTTTCTGGGTGGACTTTCTGGGTGGACTTTCTGGGTGGACGTTCTGGGTGGACTTTCTGGGTGGACTTTCTGGGTGGACTTTCTGGGTGGACTTTCTGGGTGGACGTTCTGGGTGGACTTTCTGGGTGGACTTTTTGGGTGGACTTTTTGGGTGGACTTTCTGGGTGGACTTTCTGGGTGGACTTTCTGGGTGGACGTTCTGGGTGGACTTTCTGGGTGGACTTTCTGGGTGGACTTTCTGGGTGGACTTTCTGGGTGGACGTTCTGGGTGGACTTTCTGGGTGGACTTTTTGGGTGGACTTTTTGGGTGGACTTTCTGGGTGGACGTTCTGGGTGGACTTTCTGGGTGGACTTTTTGGGTGGACTTTTTGGGTGGACTTTCTGGGTGGACTTTCTGGGTGGACTTTTTGGGTGGACTTTCTGGGTGGACTTTTTGGGTGGACTTTCTGGGTGGACTTTTTGGGTGGACTTTTTGGGTGGACTTTCTGGGTGGACTTTCTGGGTGGACGTTCTGGGTGGACTTTCTGGGTGGACTTTTTGGGTGGACTTTTTGGGTGGACTTTCTGGGTGGACTTTCTGGGTGGACTTTCTGGGTGGACTTTCTGGGTGGACTTTCTGGGTGGACTTTTTGGGTGGACTTTTTGGGTGGACTTTCTGGGTGGACTTTCTGGGTGGACTTTCTGGGTGGACTTTTTGGGTGGACTTTTTGGGTGGACTTTTTGGGTGGACGTTCTGGGTGGACGTTCTGGGTGGACGTTCTGGGTGGACTTTCTGGGTGGACTTTTTGGGTGGACTTTCTGGGTGGACGTTCTGGGTGGACTTTCTGGGTGGACTTTTTGGGTGGACTTTTTGGGTGGACTTTCTCGGTGGACTTTCTGGGTGGACTTTTTGGGTGGACTTTCTGGGTGGACTTTTTGGGTGGACTTTCTGGGTGGACTTTTTGGGTGGACTTTTTGGGTGGACTTTCTGGGTGGACGTTCTGGGTGGACGTTCTGGGTGGACTTTCTGGGTGGACTTTTTGGGTGGACTTTTTGGGTGGACTTTCTGGGTGGACTTTCTGGGTGGACGTTCTGGGTGGACTTTCTGGGTGGACTTTCTGGGTGGACTTTTTGGGTGGACTTTTTGGGTGGACTTTCTGGGTGGACTTTCTGGGTGGACTTTCTGGGTGGACTTTTTGGGTGGACTTTTTGGGTGGACTTTCTGGGTGGACGTTCTGGGTGGACGTTCTGGGTGGACTTTCTGGGTGGACTTTTTGGGTGGACTTTTTGGGTGGACTTTCTGGGTGGACTTTCTGGGTGGACTTTCTGGGTGGACTTTCTGGGTGGACTTTTTGGGTGGACTTTTTGGGTGGACTTTCTCGGTGGACTTTCTGGGTGGACTTTCTGGGTGGACTTTTTGGGTGGACTTTTTGGGTGGACTTTCTGGGTGGACGTTCTGGGTGGACGTTCTGGGTGGACTTTTTGGGTGGACTTTCTGGGTGGACTTTCTGGGTGGACTTTCTGGGTGGACTTTCTGGGTGGACTTTCTGGGTGGACTTTCTGGGTGGACTTTCTGGGTGGACGTTCTGGGTGGACTTTCTGGGTGGACTTTTTGGGTGGACTTTCTGGGTGGACTTTCTGGGTGGACTTTCTGGGTGGACTTTTTGGGTGGACTTTTTGGGTGGACTTTCTGGGTGGACTTTCTGGGTGGACTTTTTGGGTGGACTTTTTGGGTGGACTTTCTGGGTGGACGTTCTGGGTGGACTTTCTGGGTGGACTTTTTGGGTGGACTTTTTGGGTGGACTTTCTGGGTGGACTTTCTGGGTGGACTTTCTGGGTGGACTTTCTGGGTGGACTTTCTGGGTGGACTTTCTGGGTGGACTTTCTGGGTGGACGTTCTGGGTGGACGTTCTGGGTGGACTTTTTGGGTGGACTTTTTGGGTGGACTTTTTGGGTGGACTTTCTGGGTGGACGTTCTGGGTGGACGTTCTGGGTGGACTTTTTGGGTGGACTTTTTGGGTGGACTTTTTGGGTGGACGTTCTGGGTGGACGTTCTGGGTGGACGTTCTGGGTGGACGTTCTGGGTGGACTTTCTGGGTGGACTTTTTGGGTGGACTTTTTGGGTGGACTTTTTGGGTGGACTTTCTGGGTGGACTTTTTGGGTGGACTTTCTGGGTGGACTTTTTGGGTGGACTTTCTGGGTGGACTTTTTGGGTGGACTTTTTGGGTGGACTTTCTGGGTGGACGTTCTGGGTGGACGTTCTGGGTGGACTTTCTGGGTGGACTTTTTGGGTGGACTTTTTGGGTGGACTTTCTGGGTGGACTTTCTGGGTGGACTTTCTGGGTGGACTTTCTGGGTGGACTTTCTGGGTGGACTTTCTGGGTGGACTTTTTGGGTGGACTTTCTGGGTGGACTTTCTGGGTGGACTTTTTGGGTGGACTTTCTGGGTGGACTTTTTGGGTGGACTTTCTGGGTGGACTTTTTGGGTGGACTTTCTGGGTGGACTTTTTGGGTGGACTTTCTGGGTGGACTTTTTGGGTGGACTTTCTGGGTGGACTTTTTGGGTGGACTTTCTGGGTGGACTTTCTGGGTGGACTTTCTTGATAGACGTTGCAACATACTGAGCTTAAATGTTGTATAAATTTCAGTGAGCTTAAAATTTCCACAGAATATTTGACAAGCTCACAGGGCCCACGTCCTCTCTTTAAAAATATCAGACGGACCAAATTTCACCAGATCGCGGAATTATTGTAAGATTTATTGAACATGAAGCAAGGGGGTTAAGTCTAGACCAAGATGGGTAAGTCGTCCGGAATGACGTCACATCCGCGAGCCGGCTAACCGAGTTACGTACCGTGTAACCTAATGACGTTGTTTTCCCCGGCCCGTTTCTATTATTTCAGTCGTGACCCAGTTCTGTGACCCAATTTTTGTGTTTTGTTCCAGGCCTTTCAGGGTCACATCATCTCCGGTCAGTTCTCCTCCACCAGGGTGGACGGGGACGCTGTCCACATGACCTACGCGGGGTTGCCCGTCAGGCTGTCGAAAAATGAGAGAACGTCCAGTAAGTATTGTCTTGGTCAGGATGTGATGTCATGATGTTGTGGTGTCTGGATGTTGTGGTCATATATCTGCTTGTCAAATTCTATGTGTCTAGTCTATATCTGGTGGTCAAGTTGTGTCCAGTCTATATCTGGTGGTCAATTTGTGTCCAGTCTATATCTGATGGTCAAGTTGTGTCCAGTCTATATCTGGTGTTAAGTTGTATCCAGTCTATATCTGGTGGTCAAGTTGTGTCCAGTCTATATCTGGTGGTCAAGTTGTGTCCAGTCTATATCTGGTGGTCAAGTTGTGTCCAGTCTATATCTGGTGGTCAAGTTGTGTCCAGTCTATATCTGGTGGTCAAATTCCATGTGTCCAGTCTTTATCTGGTGGTCAAGTTCCATGTGTCCAGTCTATAGCGGGTGGTCAAGTTGTGTCCAGTCTATAGCGGGTGGTCAAGTTCCATGTGTCCAGTCTATAGCGGGTGGTCAAGTTGTGTCCAGTCTATAGCGGGTGGTCAAGTTGTGTCCAGTCTATAGCGGGTGGTCAAGTTCCATGTGTCCAGTCTATAGCGGGTGGTCAAGTTGTGTCCAGTCTATAGTGGGTGGTCAAGTTCCATGTGTCCAGTCTATAGCGGGTGGTCAAGTTGTGTCCAGTCTATAGCGGGTGGTCAAGTTGTGTCCAGTCTATAGCGGGTGGTCAAGTTCCATGTGTCCAGTCTTTATCTGGTGACCGATGTTGGACCCTCCTTTTCCCACTGTCTAGCTGGCTGAACATCTAATTACAACTTTTGATGACGTAGGGTGCCCTCTCTTGTTCTGGAGGTCAAAGTTCGTAGCGGTTATCGGAACGTTAGTTACCAACTGGAAAAGTTGGTCATCACATGACCACTTATTAGGGTCGTCACCACTCATTACCATAACTACGTCACTTCAGGCGAGAAAAGACTCCTGGGCTGACCGGTATTTGAACCCACTTCACGTGTGTTAGCTGCCTCTCTGTAGACACCGTCCTCCATATTTGATTGTATTTACTTCAGTTTCACCGGAAGTGTCGTCACTGTCTGATTTATTTCCGTTAAGTGTCATAATGACCTTGTCATCCCCAGCCATTAAAATCACGGGAGGTCACGTGACGAGCGAGGTCAAAGTTCGTGACATCTTCTGCTCCAACGGTGTCCTGCACATCATTGACGACATCCTGCACACTCCCACTAGGACCGTCGACAAAGAGATGAGGACAAGAGAGCCCCTCAGGTGAGTCGTCTGCTAGAGACAGGTGAGTCGTCTGCTAGAGGTAGGTGAGTCGTCAGCTAGAGACAGATGAGTCGTCTGCTAGAGGTAGGTGAGTCGTCTGCTAGAGGTAGGTGAGTCGTCTGCTTGTAAAAAGGAATGGCTCCGTCACTTTTTTGTCCAATGGCTTTTACTGGCTTCAAACTACCAAGGGGTAGTGCCACCCCAGTTCAGGGATCCGACCCCAGCGCCCTCTGGTTGAGCGTCGTGTGCCCCACGACCCCACGGTACATTCCAGAAAACTTCAGCCACAGTAAATCTTACAGAAATTTCGGGAAAAACCACTAGTGCAACAAAACAATCCCAAAATTTTATTTCACTCTGTTGGCACATTTTTTCTGTCTTCCTCTTTACCGTCTGATAATTATTCATAAAGCAAGTATTGCATAGAAACGATATTTCAACCTGTAACCTTGTACTCCGTCTTAATTATAACCCTAACCATCGCCTTAATTTAAAACACCGTTAACTAAAGTTAACTAAACCATTTCATCCTATACCTGTACAGGTACATGCAGGCTCTGTTAGTTAACTAAACCGTTACGTCCTATACCTGTACAGGTACATGCAGGCTCTGTTAGTTAACTAAACCGTTACGTCCTATACCTGTACAGGTACATGCAGGCTCTGTTAGTTAACTAAACCGTTACGTCCTATACCTGTACAGGTACATGCAGGCTCTGTTAGTTAACTAAACCGTTACGTCCTATACCTGTACAGGTACATGCAGGCTCTGTTAGTTAACTAAACCGTTACGTCCTATACCTGTACAGGTACATGCAGGCTCTGTTAGTTAACTAAACCGTTACGTCCTATACCTGTACAGGTACATGCAGGCTCTGTTAGTTAACTAAACCGTTACGTCCTATACCTGTACAGGTACATGCAGGCTCTGTTAGTTAACTAAACCGTTACGTCCTATACCTGTACAGGTACATGCAGGCTCTGTTAGTTAACTAAACCGTTACGTCCTATACCTGTACAGGTACATGCAGGCTCTGTTAGTTAACTAAACCGTTACGTCCTATACCTGTACAGGTACATGCAGGCTCTGTTAGTTAACTAAACCGTTACGTCCTATACCTGTACAGGTACATGCAGGCTCTGTTAGTTAACTAAACCGTTACGTCCTATACCTGTACAGGTACATGCAGGCTCTGTTAGTTAACTAAACCGTTACGTCCTATACCTGTACAGGTACATGCAGGCTCTGTTAGTTAACTAAACCGTTACGTCCTATACCTGTACAGGTACATGCAGGCTCTGTTAGTTAACTAAACCGTTACGTCCTATACCTGTACAGGTACATGCAGGCTCTGTTCGAGAAAGTGGCAGACAGACAATACGACTTGAACTCCAAGGGAAGCAACTACACAGTTTTTGTCCCCAACAACGACGCCTTTGGTTCCCTCCCCTGGGACACGGTCAACAAACTGCTCCACTGGGACAGCTGGACCAAACAGGTGAGTGACGTCATGATAACAGGTGGGTGACGTCATGTCAAGGTGTACCAGCATGCAACGCGACCTCAAATGTTTTACATTTTAAATTTCTCTTTTCGATAGCTTGCAATACAACACAATTATATCGTCTAGCTCAGTTGAGGGAATAATGAAGTTTTGCTATTAGACAGTTGAAGTAGAGTCGACTTGCCTCTTTAAATAGAACAGCGTGGTGTACCGATATGCCTGGTACCATTCAGACCTGAGTACACTCAGCCAAGTCCTATTTCTAGAAAATTCTAACTTTCTTCTAATGATGTCAATGCTAACTTTGGAGCACTACTCACATGTGTAAGACGTTATAGATACTAAACTTGGCCCAAACCTATGCTGGAGCAGGATTTAACCAATTGTGTACGTTATGTGACTCTTTAACCCACATACCCAACTCTGAACGTTATGGACCCTCCCCTCTAACCCTAACCTACGTAACCAACTGTACGTCACGTGACCCACTAACCCACTTTACGCCCTCAGATTCTCAGAGCCCACATCGTGAAGAACGAGATGCGGACGTTGAGCGACATCCCGTCAGGCACCGCGCTCAGAGCGGAACACAACGTCATACACGTCGTCAAGAAGGAGGATCACGGTCCAGGTAACGCCACGTTTGACCAGTGGTCAAGATCTTTTGGAAATGGTCATTTTATAACTGGACCACGACGGATTTCTCTGTTAAAATAATACATAGTTAAATGATGATTCCGAGTTTGACTTAATATACATTAGAACATGTCAACATTTTGGATGTCATATTATGACGTCACAGGACAGACGGCTGACCAGACGGCTGACCAGACGGCTGATCAGACGGCTGACCAGACGGCTGACCAGACGGCTTGACTGACGTGACACAACTACCGCACGTGCATGACGTCTGTTTCCTCCCCCAGTGTATGTAGTCAACAACAACATGATGGCCCAGGTCCTGGTGTCCGACATCCCAGCGGTCAACGGCTGGATCCACATCGTAGATAGGATACTGACCGTCCCCTACGTCACAGTGGCTGACGTCATGGGGTCCAGGGAGGATGTCAGGTCAGTTTGTGGGTCACACCGAAGTGTCAGCTGTAACCCCTGACATTGTGGTAGTCTGTACCTCGACACACATGACCTTGACATCACACGCCCCTGACCTTGGTACACGATTGACCTCTAACCTTTGACCGTCCCCAGCATCTTCCACCACATCATGAGCCCCCTGCCCGAGTACAAGCAGCTGATCACCTCCCCGTTACGTAACGTCACCCTCTTCGTCCCGTCCTCGCGCTACATCCGGACCCTCACGCCCGACCAGCTGACCAGGATCAAATCCAACACAGACGTGCTCAGGAAGGTGAGTACTCGCAGAATGTTCTGGTCTCAGTTGACGTGGTGTGTTGCTGTATCTAAAAGCCAAGTCATTTAAAAACTACCGTTGGGCCCAGTTTACAAAGACTTAAAAAATTACTAGCCGTCCCGGCCAGGCCCTGCACTGGCCTATGTGAAAAACCTATCTGTAAAGGACCATGACTTGTGTGTTTATTAATCAGCATATACCCGGCTTTGCCGGTGTTTCGGAAATATATTTCTTTTCGAATTAAAACTAACCATAACCAACCAAAACACAAAGATAACGCAAACTTAAATTTAGATGGGGGTGTTGCTTTGTGTTGTGGATGCTAAAATATTTCAGATTGCGTCTTCCCGTATCAAACGGTAGCAAAGAGTTTAAAAATCATTTCTCGTAGTGTAAAGATTATTCTAAAGATCATAATCACATAAAACAAAATTTTATTTGAGAGAAGATTATCCCAATTCATTGACCACAAGTGACCCTAAAGAAACCCTAAACTAACCCGCGATATTTTCCAAACTAAACCTTATCCCTAAATAAAGCATATCATTAGTTTCAGATTTAATTTTCTTTGTTTGCATAATTAAGTATTTCCATTTAACTTTAACATTGTTGCTTATGTAACTAGTACAGACTGACCATATCTCCGCCCCCCATCTCCCCAGATATTCCATGGTCACGTGCTGCCCAACGTGCGGCTTGATGACGTGTTCCTACGTCAGTACCCGGATGCTGACTACTGCTCGAGGAGTTCCTACAACGTCACGTTTAAAATCAGCAAGGGAGACAACGGTACATTTTATTTTGTTAGCTAGAGTTACTGTTCTTGAGGGTCTGTTAACGAAATTTTCCTGTGTGATTAAATCATAACCTTTAACTTCTCTTGCGTGGTCTAGCTACACTCTCGTGTAACCTTGACCTCGCACGCGTGAGATTTGACCCTAACCACGTGATCACGTGTTCCAGGCATGTTCGTGGACGTGGGATACGACATGCAACCTCTTGACCTCGTTACCAGGGCAACCGGGTGCTCGGACGGCATCATCTACGTCATCGACGGTTTCCTCAACTACTCGCCCTTCACGGTGCTGGAGAGGCTCACGAGGGAGCCGGTGCTAAGGTCAGTGGGGGTGCTAGGGTCAGTGGGGGCTGGTATTTCTTTGTGGTTGGAGGGGGGAACGAGCTGGTGTTAACGTACGGTGCTGATATGCCATATATGACCCACACCACCATCCAATCACACAACCATCCACACCACCACCACTGATTCTCAAATTTTACCTCACCATCTCAGTGGATCCTTCGACCTGATGACCCACTTAGCGCCAGCCAATGAAATCGATTCACTGAACGACCCCAACTTGTCCTTCACCTTCCTCATGCCCGATGACGTGGCACAGGATTATTACCTGAAGAGTGAGTTGCTCAAGCTGCGCCACCTCCCACCTGAGGAGAGGCACAGGTGAGAACTCGTTTGGTTTGGGGTTAATTAGTCGTTAGGGTTAAGTTACACAAGTCAGAAGGTGCCATGTTTATGTTGGAGGGTTATGATTACGACGAATGTTAAAAATTAGCAGATGAGATTTTTTTAAAATATCCGTAACTGATTAAATAATTTCTACAAGATACTTTAAATTACTTAAGAGTTAACTTCAAGACAAATTAATAAATAAAAATGATTTCGTGGAAGTCCACGACATTCTTTTTGGCTTTTACTTCATAACTTTTTGTCTGATATTTATTTTGTGACTTTTGACTGACGCTGACTGCATCTTCAGTCTCTTGGCTCCATGTCAAGGGATAGTGAAATGACATTTATGACATTAAGTAAATAACATCTTCTAAATGACACTTGTTCTGTCTCTCCCAAACCTACCCCCCCCCTTTCCACCAACCCAGGGTATTCAAACGTCACGTGATCAACGGCACGGTTCTCTACCAGGACGACTTTAAGAACGGCTCCATCCGTCACGGTCTGCTGCCCCCAAACGTCACCTTGGTCTTTACGGCAGACGGTGAGTAGGTTCTTTACCTCAAGCAATGTCACAACATCATCTTTACCTCCAGCAATGTCACAACAACATCTTTACCTCAAGTAATGTCACAACAACATCTTTACCTCAAGCAATGTCACAACAACATCTTTACCTCAAGCAATGTCACAACAACATCTTTACCTCAAGTAATGTCACAACAACATCTTTACCTCAAGCAATGTCACAACAACATCTTTACCTCAAACAATGTCACAACAACATCTTTACCTCAAACAATGTCACAACAACATCTTTACCTCAAGCAATGTCACAACAACATCTTTACCTCAAGCAATGTCACAACAACATCTTTACCTCAAGCAATGTCACAACAACATCTTTACCTCAAGCAATGTCACAACAACATCTTTACCTCAAGCAATGTCACAACAACATCTTTACTTCAAGCAATGTTACAACAACATCTTTACCTCAAGCAATGTCACAACATCTTTACCTCAAGCAATGTCACAACAACATCTTTACCTCAAGCAATGTCACAACAACATCTTTACCTCAAGCAATGTTACAACAACATCTTTACCTCAAGCAATGTCACAACATCTTTACCTCAAGCAATGTCACAACAACATCTTTACCTCAAGCAATGTCACAACAACATCTTTACCTCAAGCAATGTCACAACAACATCTTTACCTCAAGCAATGTCACAACAACATCTTTACCTCAAGCAATGTCACAACAACATCTTTACCTCAAGCAATGTCACAACATCTTTACCTCAAGCAATGTCACAACAACATCTTTACCTCAAGCAATGTCACAACAACATCTTTACCTCAAGCAATGTTACAACAACATCTTTACCTCAAGCAATGTCACAACATCTTTACCTCAAGCAATGTCACAACAACATCTTTACCTCAAGCAATGTCACAACAACATCTTTACCTCAAGCAATGTCACAACAACATCTTTACCTCAAGCAATGTCACAACAACATCTTTACCTCAAGCAATGTCACAACAACATCTTTACCTCAAGCAATGTCACAACAACATCTTTACCTCAAGCAATGTCACAACAACATCTTTACCTCAAGCAATGTCACAACAACATCTTTACCTCAAGCAATGTCACAACAACATCTTTACCTCAAGCAATGTCACAACAACATCTTTACCTCAAGCAATGTCACAACAACATCTTTACCTCAAGCAATGTCACAACAACATCTTTACCTCAAGCAATGTCACAACATCTTTACCTCAAGCAATGTCAACAACATCTTTACCTCAAGCAATGTCACAACAACATCTTTACCTCAAGCAATGTCACAACAACATCTTTACCTCAAGCAATGTCACAACAACATCTTTACCTCAAGCAATGTCACAACAACATCTTTACCTCAAGCAATGTCACAACAACATCTTTACCTCAAGCAATGTCACAACAACATCTTTACCTCAAGCAATGTCACAACAACATCTTTACCTCAAGCAATGTCACAACAACATCTTTACCTCAAGCAATGTCACAACAACATCTTTACCTCAAGCAATGTCACAACAACATCTTTACCTCAAGCAATGTCACAACAACATCTTTACCTCAAGCAATGTCACAACAACATCTTTACCTCAAGCAATGTCACAACAACATCTTTACCTCAAGCAATGTCACAACAACATCTTTACCTCAAGCAATGTCACAACAACATCTTTACCTCAAGCAATGTCACAACAACATCTTTACCTCAAGCAATGTCACAACAACATCTTTACCTCAAGCAATGTCACAACAACATCTTTACCTCAAGCAATGTCACAACAACATCTTTACCTCAAGCAATGTCACAACAACATCTTTACCTCAAGCAATGTCACAACAACATCTTTACCTCAAGCAATGTCACAACAACATCTTTACCTCAAGCAATGTCACAACAACATCTTTACCTCAAGCAATGTCACAACAACATCTTTACCTCAAGCAATGTCACAACAACATCTTTACCTCAAGCAATGTCACAACAACATCTTTACCTCAAGCAATGTCACAACAACATCTTTACCTCAAGCAATGTCACAACAACATCTTTACCTCAAGCAATGTCACAACAACATCTTTACCTCAAGCAATGTCACAACAACATCTTTACCTCAAGCAATGTCACAACAACATCTTTACCTCAAGCAATGTCACAACAACATCTTTACCTCAAGCAATGTCACAACAACATCTTTACCTCAAGCAATGTCACAACAACATCTTTACCTCAAGCAATGTCACAACAACATCTTTACCTCAAGCAATGTCACAACAACATCTTTACCTCAAGCAATGTCACAACAACATCTTTACCTCAAGCAATGTCACAACAACATCTTTACCTCAAGCAATGTCACAACAACATCTTTACCTCAAGCAATGTCACAACAACATCTTTACCTCAAGCAATGTCACAACAACATCTTTACCTCAAGCAATGTCACAACAACATCTTTACCTCAAGCAATGTCACAACAACATCTTTACCTCAAGCAATGTCACAACAACATCTTTACCTCAAGCAATGTCACAACAACATCTTTACCTCAAGCAATGTCACAACAACATCTTTACCTCAAGCAATGTCACAACAACATCTTTACCTCAAGCAATGTCACAACAACATCTTTACCTCAAGCAATGTCACAACAACATCTTTACCTCAAGCAATGTCACAACAACATCTTTACCTCAAGCAATGTCACAACAACATCTTTACCTCAAGCAATGTCACAACAACATCTTTACCTCAAGCAATGTCACAACAACATCTTTACCTCAAGCAATGTCACAACAACAACAACATCTTTACCTCAAGCAATGTCACAACAACATCTTTACCTCAAGCAATGTCACAACAACATCTTTACCTCAAGCAATGTCACAACAACATCTTGTACCTCAAGCAATGTCACAACAACATCTTTACCTCAAGCAATGTCACAACAACATCTTTACCTCAAGCAATGTCACAACAACATCTTTACCTCAAGCAATGTCACAACAACATCTTTACCTCAAGCAATGTCACAACAACATCTTTACCTCAAGCAATGTCCACAACAACATCTTTACCTCAAGCAATGTCACAACAACATCTTTACCTCAAGCAATGTCACAACAACATCTTTACCTCAAGCAATGTCACAACAACATCTTTACCTCAAGCAATGTCACAACAACATCTTTACCTCAAGCAATGTCACAACAACATCTTTACCTCAAGCAATGTCACAACAACATCTTTACCTCAAGCAATGTCACAACAACATCTTTACCTCAAGCAATGTCACAACAACATCTTTACCTCAAGCAATGTCACAACAACATCTTTACCTCAAGCAATGTCACAACAACATCTTTACCTCAAGCAATGTCACAACAACATCTTTACCTCAAGCAATGGTCACAACAACATCTTTACCTCAAGCAATGTCACAACAACATCTTTACCTCAAGCAATGTCACAACAACATCTTTACCTCAAGACAATGTCACAACAACATCTTTACCTCAAGCAATGTCACAACAACAGCTTTACCTCAAGCAATGTCACAACAACATCTTTACCTCAAGCAATGTCCAACAACATCTTTACCTCAAGCAATGTCACAACAACATCTTTACCTCAAGCAATGTCACACAACATCTTTACCTCAAGCAATGTCACAACAACATCTTTACCTCAAGCATGTCACAACAACATCTTTACCTCAAGCAATGTCACAACAAACATCTTTACCTCAAGCAATGTCACAACAACATCTTTACCTCAAGCAATGTCACAACAACATCTTTACCTCAAGCAATGTCACAACAACATCTTTACCTCAAGCAATGTCACAACAACATCTTTACCTCAAGCAATGTCACAACAACATCTTTACCTCAAGCAATGTCACAACAACATCTTTACCTCAAGCAATGTCACAACAACATCTTTACCTCAAGCAATGTCACAACAACATCTTTACCTCAAGCAATGTCACAACAACATCTTTACCTCAAGCAATGACACAACATCATCTTTACCTCAAGCAATGTCACAACAACATCTTTACCTCAAGCAATGTCACAACATCTTTACCTCACGCAATGTCACAACATCTTTACCTCACGCAATGTCACAACAACATCTTTACCTCACGCAATGACACAACAACATCTTTACCTCAAGCAATGACACAACATCATCTTTACCTCAAGCAATGTCACAACAACATCTTTACCTCAAGCAATGACACAACAACATCTTTACCTCAAGCAATGTCACAACAACATCTTTACCTCAAGCAATGACACAACAACATCTTTACCTCAAGCAATGACACAACATCATCTTTACCTCAAGCAATGTCACAACAACATCTTTACCTCAAGCAATGTCACAACAACATCTTTACCTCAAGCAATGACACAACATCATCTTTACCTCAAGCAATGTCACAACAACATCTTTACCTCAAGCAATGACACAACAACATCTTTACCTCAAGCAATGTCACAACAACATCTTTACCTCAAGCAATGACACAACAACATCTTTACCTCAAGCAATGACACAACAACATCTGTGAATGACACTTTATTGTGGCGCTTGCAATACATCCCACCTAACCCTCACCTCGACACCTCCCACTGAAACCTCTCCCCCATACCTACGACAACTCCCACCTAACCCTACCCTCCCCCATACCTACGACGCCTCCCACCTAACCCTAACCTCTCCCCTCCCCTGCCCCCTACCAACTCCGCCTCCCATCTAACCCTAACCCTAACTCTCCCCAGCGGTGTACGTAAAGTTTAAGAAGATCGAGAGCCAGATCAAGCAGTGGAACCTGATTGCCTCTAACGGCGTGATCCACATCCTCATGCAGTTCCTCTACGACGCCAACGGCTCGGGCGCCCCCCGGACCACCACGCCCACCACCTACGTCACCATCAACAGCATGGTGGCCCGCCTGGAGAACACGGCCGCCGTGACGTCATGGTCACGTGCTCTAGTGGTCACTCACCTGGTGCTGGCTCTAGTGTTGGTCGCGAGGTGATTGGACGGTTGGGATAGGATGAACGGTTGGGAAAAGATGGACGACTGGGATAAAATGGACAGCTGGATTGATGCACGGTCGTGGTGTGTGAGAATGGACGATTGAAGTGTGAAAATGGACGGTTAGGGTGTTAGTGATATGTGATAACAACGTGTGATATATCATTAGTGAATGTATAACTTGTACCTATAACATTTTTTAATAACTGAATCACATGTTTATATGACCGTATCTTTAAAACTACTTATAATGAATCATTAAAACGATTTGTAAATAACTCTGCTTACACCGAGGGTACAACGCCACGCTAATTGATTCTCTAAATGAAATGTGTAAACAAAAATTGTTTGAATAATCCCTGGATATGTGTGTATCGTGTGATAGTACAATCAGATTTCTAAATAACTAAAATATTGATTGTACATGTAGAATCGAGTTAGAATCTTCTTCAGTTGTAGCTAGAGTTGATACTTGTAGTGACAGGTTGATAACTTTAGTGACAGGTTGATAACTTTAGTGGCAGGTTGATAACTTTAGTGACAGGTTGATAACTTTAGTGGCAGGTCGATAACTTTAGTGGCAGGTTAATAACTTTAGTGACAGGTTGATAACTTTAGTGACAGGTTGATAACTTTAGTGGCAGGTTGATAACTTTAGTGACAGGTTGATAACTTTAGTGGCAGGTTGATAACTTTAGTGACAGGTTGGTAACTTTAGTGACAGTTTGATAACTTTAGTGACAGGTTGATAACTGTAGTGACAGGTTGAAGGTTGATAACTTTAGTGGCAGGTTGATAACTTTAGTGGCAGGTTGAAGGTTGATAATTTTAGTGGCAGGTTGATAACTTTAGTGACAGGTTGATAACTTTAGTGGCAGGTTGATAACTTTAGTGACAAGTTGATATCTTTAGTGACAGGTTGATAACTTTAGTGACAGGTTGATAACTTTAGTGACAGGTTGATAACTTTAGTGACAGGTTGATAACTTTAGTGGCAGGTTGATAACTTTAGTGACAGGTTGATAACTTTAGTGGCAGGTTGATAACTTTAGTGATAGGTTGATAACTTTAGTGACAGGTTGATAACTTTAGTGGCAGGTTGATAACTTTAGTGGCAGGTTGATAACTTTAGTGACAGGTTGATAACTTTAGTGACAGGTTGATAACTTTAGTGACAGGTTGATAACTTTAGTGACAGTTGATAACTTTAGTGGCAGGTTGATAACTTTAGTGTCAGGTTGATAACTTTAGTGACAGGTTGGTAACTTTAGTGACAGTTTGATAACTTTAGTGACAGGTTGATAACTGTAGTGACAGGTTGAAGGTTGATAACTTTAGTGGCAGGTTGATAACTTTAGTGGCAGGTTGAAGGTTGATAATTTTAGTGGCAGGTTGATAACTTTAGTGACAGGTTGATAACTTTAGTGGCAGGTTGATAACTTTAGTGACAAGTTGATATCTTTAGTGACAGGTTGATAACTTTAGTGACAGGTTGATAACTTTATTGACAGGTTGATAACTTTAGTGGCAGGTTGAAGGTTGATAATTTTAGTGGCAGGTTGATAACTTTAGTGACAGGTTGATAACTTTAGTGGCAGGTTGATAACTTTAGTGACAAGTTGATATCTTTAGTGACAGGTTGATAACTTTAGTGACAGGTTGATAACTTTATTGACAGGTTGATAACTTTAGTGGCAGGTTGATAACTTTAGTGGCAGGTTGATAACTTTAGTGACAGGTTGATAACTTTAGTGGCAGGTTGATAACTTTAGTGATAGGTTGATAACTTTAGTGACAGGTTGATAACGTTAGCCGCAGGTTGATAACTTTAGTGGCAGGTTGATAACTTTAGTGGCAGGTTGATAACTTTAGTGACAGGTTGAAGGTTGATAACTTTAGTGGCAGGTTGATAACTTTAGTGGTAGGTTGATAACTTTAGTGGCAGGTTGATAACTTTAGTGACAGGTTGAAGGTTGATAACTTTAGTGGCAGGTTGATAACTTTAGTGGCAGGTTGAAGGTTGATAATTTTAATGGCAGGTCGATAACTTTAGTGGCAGGTTGATAACTTTAGTGGCAGGTTGATAACTTTAGTGACAGGTTGATAACTTTAGTGTCAGGTTGATTATTTTAGTGACACAAAAAGAAAATGACCCACAATCGACTAAAATTCTAACCCATGTACCAACAATAGTATCGACAATTGAACATACTTAAACATTTCCAAATTAATACAAAACTGTTCCTTAATTCCTAAGTAAGTATGATTTAAAATAGTTTCTGTGTGAGCAATGAAAGTAATTTTTTAGGCTCTAGTCTAGATCTTTTAACAATAAAGATGATGAGCGTATGTTGGACACGCAAGGGAGCTAAACGTTTAAAAAGATGAAGTGAGTTAATTGCCCTTGTTTAAAGACTGAAGTGAGTTAATTGCCCTTGTTGAGCTGGGCCTCTATGCAGACGCGGGTGTACATTCTCATTATTTATTATTAATTGCTTATTGTTTTAATTACAACTAATTATTAATTGCTAATTGTTTTAATTACAACTAATTATTATTGCTAATTGTTTTAATTACAACTAATTATTATTGCTAATTGTATTAATTACAACCAATTATTAATTGCTAATTGTTTTAATTACAACTAATTTCTGTATGGTCGTCTGACTGACAACTTTACCCGCCTTAAGCATGTACAGTAACATCATTGTGTAACATCATTGTGCGATGTTTCATCCAACACATCATTGTGCGATGTTTCATCCAGCGCATCATTCTGTTGATGTGTGATGTCTCTACTCACTATACAAAAAAAACAGCATACCGTGATCATCAGTTGATTAGTCTGCTGACCATCACTGACCTAACTCACCTGACCATCACTGACCTAACTCACCCCACTCCAACTGAACCACAGTAGGCGAACCTTTTTCTTTGTCACGTGATTTTCTGGTCCAAAAATAGCTGGTATTTGTTTCATGTAATCATTAATTAATGTACCGCTTAATTTCTTCAAAATGTGCTATTGACGAGGTTGAATGTATATGGGTTTTAATGATAGGCTAATTAATTTTCAAGATTTTATAATGTAATACGTTAATTTAATTAATGCCTTAATGTCGTCAGGAATGTTGTAGTCTAGGTACATGATAAAGTTTGGTGTGAGTGATGGTGTGAGTGATGGTGTGAGTGATGGTGTGAGTGATGGTGTGAGTGATGGTGTGAGTGATGGTGTGAGTGATGGTGTGAGTGATGGTGTGAGTGATGGTGTGAGTGATGGTGTGAGTGATGGTGTGAGTGATGTCCCATTTATTTTCTGCTTGTTTCTTAGTTCTCTCCCCTGCATGGGTCATCTCCAGACGCAACGGGTCAGCATGTACTTACGATTCTGTAGATAGAATTATGTTAATTCTGTTAATTATGTTAATTCTGTTTTATATTTTATTTAATGATGACTTTTTGTCTGTGTGAGCTACTAATTGGCTTGACAACGTGGACCAACATTGTGATAATAAAGTGTGTAGTGTGGAGTTATTACCCTTTCAGTGACGTGGTTATTATGTACCTAGCTGTGAATGTATTGGATGTTTTGATTAGCTAAATTTTGTTCTAAAAACTCTGATTGGCTGAATATTTCTGTAATCTAACCACGCAAAGGTTTCGTTAAAAATTATGTTTAAAAAAATTGTACCACAACTTGTACTTATCCTCTACCATTGTGTTTGTAAATTAGACTGTTTGTGTTCATGTGTGTCCCTACCATGATATTTGTAAATTAGACTGTTTGTGTTCAGGTGCGTCCTCTATCATGGTATTTGTAAATTAGACTGTTTGTGTTCATGTGTGTCCCTACCATGATATTTGTAAATTAGACTGTTTGGGTTCAGGTGTCAACGAAATTGTTTGACCTGACGTGGACTCACACCTGCCATGTGTAGACTGTGTACAAACTTAGTTCATCAAACTTTGAAACGTGGGTACACAATATGGTTCGTGTGGCTGTGTTTCGTGTGGCTGTGTTTCGTGTGGCAGTGTGGTTCGTGTGGCTGTGTTTCGTGTGGCTATGCTTCGTGTGGCTGTGCTTCGTGTGGCTGTGTTTCGTGTGGCTGTGTGGTTTGTCAATTTGCCTGATGCCATGTCCATGCAACACATTAATTTTGTCGGTGGCTCATTAATGTCTTGTAATTAACTCATTAGAATAATCAATACCCTCGACTGTCTTGTGTACCTGCTGACGCAGTCACGAGAAGAGAATTCAGTCAAGCGTGACTGATTTATACAAAGATCTTGGTGGCTAAAACGCGCTCAAATTTTCTATTCTAGACTGGATGAGTTGTCAGACATTTTTGTTTTGGATGATTTTTGTCATACATGATTTTTGAGGGATGATTTTGTCAAATATGATTTTTGAGGGATGATTTTGTCAAACTTGATTGCCACAAATCTCGACATTTATGTTCAAACATTTTCTTCGATAATTTATGCAGTGATATTGTATCTGGTGTAAGGTTGAAAATTTAGATTTAGTACTTTAATATGTTTAAAGTGATAATTAATGATGTAATTATTTGTAATTAACACTGATTGATTGCATTGATCACGTGTGTAGATAATTATATTTAACCATAGTAGATGATTGCACACATCCATTACTTATTGAATCAATTCGTGGCTTTATTTAAGTAGAAACGTAATCAAAGTGTAATTAAAGTAATTAATACATTGAGATGGAGGAAAGAGTTTGGAGGCTTACATCTCCTTACTGAAGCGTCAATCTCCCCTCACCCCACCTCCATGGGAATGTCGGTCAAGTTATAGTGCTTGTCTCCATGGGACATTTTCTTAAGGAGCTACTGAATATCTGGGTAGATGGGGGGGGGGGGGTTATCTCGTCATGTATCACTACGCTAATACACGACTTGTCTTGAAAAATGTAACACAAAAGCTGAATTTCCTAAACATAACCTGGATCACTACTTGAATGGTCAAATATGTGTAATT